AGATCTCGTGTAGCTTTGGACGAAATTGAACAAAATAAACATACAGTAGAGGAGCAGTGTGTTTATATTTGAGCTTTATATCTATTTGACTCATTTTTGCCATGATTATTTTCAATACTGTACAGATTATTTTCTTTTATGGTGACTTAAAGAGGATTTAATCATCAAAGTTTAAACAATTATTAATTAACAGTAACTGATATTAACTTCGAAAGAGGTAATAAAATCTAGCTATTTTTGCACATTGTTAACATTGTATCGATAAATATATGTGGTCACTTTCAAACTAGTATAAAAGTACCTAACTAGCGAAGATATCTCATCAGAGGTGTTATTGTTTCCAAGACGGTAGTCAACAGCGAGAACGTTCCAGAATGATTGTTATTAATTTATTGTTTATGACGCAAAAAAAGCAAACCAACCTAACAAATCTTTAGGTAGACCACAGTGTTCTACAAGCTTCTCTTATAACCAACCTAACAAATTTTTTGGTAGACCACAGTATTATAGAAGCTTCTCATACAACCAACCTAAAAATTTTTTTAGGTAGACCACAGTATTATAGAAGCTTCTCGTATAACCAACCTAACAATTTTTTGGTAGACCACAGTATTATAGAAGCTTCTCTTATAACCAACCTAACAAATGTTTTGGTAGACCACAGTATTATAGAAGCTTCTGATGTAACCAACCTAACAAATTTTTAGGTAGACCACAGTATTATAGAAGCTTCTCATATAACCAACCTAACAAATTTTTAGGTAGACCACAGTATTATAGAAGCTTCTGATGTAACCAACCTAACAAATTTTTAGGTAGACCACAGTATTATAGAAGCTTCTGATGTAACCAACCTAACAAATCTTTAGGTAGACCACTACGTGCGCTTCAAAATCCTTCGTTTTAAAATACTATATGTACAGCTGTTGTAGTTACATAAAAATTATTTATTTGTTTGAAATACTACAAAAAGTAATTAAAATAAGTAGCATGCCTTAAAATGCAGAGAGAGAGAGAAAAGTTTTTGATAAATCCTCGTTATCAAGTTTAGCCAGGTTTTCCGGCAATCTTGTATATATAAGATACTGTTAGTTAGCTTAATCTATGGCCATTACTTGTACGGATAATGGGATGTACGTTCATGTGATCCATGTTTATATTCCATATGTAAAATACTTTCCTTTTGAATTTCTCATCCTCTATATGTGTGGACGCGGGCTGGATCTGGAGTAGAGCTGTGGATTTCAGAGCTGGCAATCCAGGCTGAATTCTTGCAATGCCACAAATGTTTCTCACACTTTAAGCTGTGGGTGCATTATAAGAGTAACAGATGCTGGGTGATAGGGTGCTGGTGGCTGGCTGCCTTGCCTCTAGTCAGTAGCTCAGAATTAGTGGACGGCAGCAGATAGTCCTAGTAGCTTTGATTTAGATACAAATACTACTATACTCTATATATTTATTTTTTTATTAGACATTTATTTCTCAAGCTCTTCACGTCATTAATCTCCCAGAAACTTTAGACTTTCCTGTATAATCAAAAATGTATTATTTTTAACATATTGAACGTTAAATATTAAGTCAAGCTTCATTATTTATCGCCGATTATATGCATGAACAGTGTTGTAAATAGAATAATGAAATGTATTAATAATAACCGCAAGGAACAATTATTTCTTACACATTTTATCGAGATATTTGCTGACAGTAATATTATGAAAGTACTCCAGTTTCTAAGAGAGGGAATTTTCGAATCGCCCTGAAGCAAGGAAATATTACAGAGATTATAGGATTTGGCGGAGAAGCCGGATTTCATTTATGTCATAATATAAGCCATGCGCGTTACGTGATGTCCGTCATTCCATTATGCGTAATAAATGTAAAGATTTGTGCGTAGCAACAGCATCTATCTGTCTACGTATCTATTTATCTGTCTACGTATCTATTTATCTGTCTATGTATCTATTTATCTGTCTACGTATCTATTTATCTATCTATTTATCTGTCTACGTATCTATTTATCTGTCTACGTATCTATTTATCTATCTATTTATCTGTCTACGTATCTATTTATCTGTCTACGTATCTATATACGCATCTATTTATCTGTCTACGTATCTATTTATCTGTCTACGCATCTATTTATCTATCTACGTATCTATTTATCTGTCTACGTATCTATTTATCTATCTACGTATCTATTTATCTGTCTACGTATCTATTTATCTGTCTACGTATCTATTTATCTATCTATTTATCTGTCTACGTATCTATTTATCTGTCTACGCATCTATTTATCTATATACGTATCTATTTATCTGTCTACGTATCTATTTATCTGTCTACGTATCTATTTATCTGTACGCATCTATTTATCTGTCTACGTATCTATTTATCTATATACGTATCTATTTATCTGTCTACGTATCTATTTATCTGTCTACGCATCTATTTATCTATATACGTATCTATTTATCTGTCTACGTATCTATTTATCTATATACGCATCTATTTATCTGTCTACGTATCTATTTATCTGTCTACGCATCTATTTATCTATATACGTATCTGTTTATCTGTCTACGCATCTATTTATCTATATACGTATCTATTTATCTGTCTACGTATCTATTTATCTGTCTACGCATCTATTTATCTATATACGTATCTATTTATCTGTCTATATATCTATCTACGTATCTGTCTATCTATTTACGTATCTATCTGTCTATCTACATATTTATCTATCTACCTATCTATCTTTACTTATCTATATATCTGTCTATCTATTTACGTATCTATCTACATACGTATCTCTCTCTTTCTCTCTCTATCTATCTGTCTATCTATTTACGTATCTATCTACATACGTATCTCTCTCTTTCTCTCTCTATCTATCTACCTATCAACGTATCTATCTATCTGTCTATGTACCTATCTACGTATCTACCTATCTATCTACGTATCTAACTATTTATATACGTATCTATCTACCTATCTATCTATGTATCTATCTATCTATCTATCTATGTATCTACCTATCTATCTATCTGTGTATCTACCTATCTATCTATCTATGTATCTACCTATCTATCTATCTGTGTATCTACCTATCTGTCTATCTATCTGTGTATCTACCTATCTATCTATCTATGTATCTACCTACCTATCTATCTATCTATCTGTGTATCTACCTACCTATCTATCTATCTGTGTATCTATCTATCTATCTATCTGTGTATCTACCTATGTATCTACCTATCTACATATCTAACTATTTATATACGTATCTATCTATCTAGACTTTAAAACTTTTCTTGTTCTAGTTATGCACTGTCTTCGTCGTTATCGTACCTGCTAGACCTGCACCCGCTATCATGCTTTTTTGAACTTTGCAATGTATTTGCCTTTCCCCATGTGCGCATATTTTTAATGAAGGAAGCTAGTGAAAAACCACATAGAAAAGAAATGGTTTCTTATATTACAAATAAAATTACATAGAGACAGACAGACGCTCACGTGCGCGTGTGTGCAATTGGGTATTATTACCTATCCACGTGAGGCAAGTTAGCGAAAAACTATATAGAAAAGAAATGTGACCGCCATAGCTCCAAGAGAAAAGAACCTAGAAACTTGAAATTTTTCACCCGTACGAAATGGACCCTCAGGGTATGCACCTGGGTATTATTACTTATCTTCATGCGTGCGCACATCTTTTTATAAAAAAATTACATAGAAAAAAATTAGTCCACCATGGAATGTTAGAGTGTTTTAGCTATTATGGGATGTTATAGTGTTTTTCTTTAACTATTATGCGATTTTATAGGGTAATTTTTTAAAATTATTATGGAATGTTATAGGGTGATTTTTAACTATTCTAGGATGTTATACGGTAGTTCTAATTATTATAAGATGTTATAGGGTAGTTTTAACTATTATAGGATTAGCGTATAGCTAGTTAAAAATGAGGGGACAAGTACTACTACCGCACCCCATAGTATACCTTAACCTCACATTTGATAGATAACTGAAATGAATTAATTTCGCGAAAGCAACCTTGACCAACAAGGAGGCAGAAAAGTGCAGTCGAGTCAGTGAAACATCGGTAAATTTTTTTTAATGAGGCAAATTAGCGAAAAGCCACATAGGAAAGAAGTGGTCACGTATATAGCAACTCCTAATATACAAAGAAGCCAGTGCATTTTGGTAACAATGCGTTCCAAGATTGGCGTTTATGTCATGTTGCTTTTCAACAAAAGTATATAGATTATACTTTTATGCTAAAATGGGTTCAGAATACACACACTATCGATCTGATAACCCGGGTACTTTCGCTAGTGCCTTTCCTCTAGTCTTACACTGCTAAATTAGAGACGGCTAGCGCAGATAGCCCTCGTGTAGCTTTGCGCGAAATTCAAAAATCAAAAACAAACTAACTTCCAAAGACATTTAACAGATGGTTACTTACTTCCAAAGACATTTAACAGATGGTTACTTACTTCCAAAGACATTTAACAGAGTGATTACTAACTTCCAAAGACATTTAACAGGATGATTACTAACTTCCAAAGACATTTAACAGAGTGATTACTAACTTCCAAAGACATTTAACAAAGTGATTTCTAACTTCCAAAGACATTTAACAGGATGGTTACTAACTTCCAAAGACATTTAACAAAGTGATTTCTAACTTCCAAAGCCATTTAACAGAGTGATTACCAACTTCCAAAGACATTTAACAGGATTGTTACTATGAGTACTCTCTACTGAACAAGTTCCTTTAACGATTGAAGCTCACAACGTATGTTTTTTAACTATTTACCTCATATTTAAAATGAAATTGGTGTCAGCTTTTCTCCTTGACTTTTCTAGAGGCATTTGTTCAAATTCGTATTAGCCAAGTTTCTCGTTATGAGAATAAATGATTCGCCCAATATAACGATATGTATGTCAATGATTAATTACACAAAACAAATGACGTTTTATAATACAAATGCAGTCTTACCTTTAATATTTTCTTTCCCATTCCCATGTTGTTATTATTGATGTTGCCTGGCTGGTCTCAAGGCTGGTTACGTTCAGCAGGCTAACCTGGAAGAATGAAAAGAACCAACTCAGAGGAATCGCTATCTGCAGTGTTGACGTCGGAGCTTCTTATGTTGCTATGGAAACACCGTCAAACACCGCGTGCGGTCTTAGGTATCAAAAGAGATGGGGTTGCGTGCAAGGTTAATTTTCAAGCCGGCAACTACTTGTGCTTTTTACCAGTCGGCAACAAAACAAGTTTGCTAACGAAATTTTGTGCGGTATCCAGTGACGTAAAGTTTAATAGCACAATGTCAGTTTCATCTTCGAAAACAATGAGTGGTGTAGAGTAAAAAAGAACAAATGTGAATATTGATGAAACAAATTTTACTTGAAGTTAACTGAAATAGTTCTAATAGTTTCGTATTCCATATGTACATCTCGCTAAACTTATATATTCTCATGAAGAGAAAGAAAACATTTTGATCTGATTGAAGTAAAACTAATAATGTGGAAACCCTTGCCAAACTTGCCAAAATGTTCTAAAGCCTAAATATTCATTTACAAGTTTTCCATGAAGGTCTTAAAAGGAGGATATTGTATTCTTTGATAGAATATTGTAGTTCCCCCTCCTCCTCTCTCTCACTCTTGCCTTAAAAATAATTATACGACCATTTTATTCAACTTATGAAAAATATATCATACTATTGTTATGATGTCATGAGACAAGAATGTACTAAAGAAATATTTTTACTCCATAAATAAAGTAAAGCTGAATCTTATTTAATTTAATAAAGTATACC